GCCCACAATTATTTTTCTTTTTTCTTTTTCCCCTTTCTTTTCTTTATCCCTCCCACCTAGCCCCCTACAAGACCTTTACTCCTTCCCACTGAGCCTCATTGCATTGGTACAGGTAGAGAACTACTGGCCCACCATCACCATAGGTCCCACCCACTCCCACCCGCCAGCTCTATGCCATTTTTTCCCTTCTTCTCTTTCTTTCTCCTTCCCACCTAGCCCCGTACACCCTGTCTACACTGAAATATTACAAAGCATTCTCTCTGATCACAACACCATAAAAGTAGAAATCAATAACAGGAAGAGCAAGAAAAAAAAATCACATATATGGAAACTAAATAACACCTTGCTTAAACACCACTGGGTAGTGGAAGAAATCAAAGTAGGAATAAAAAAATCCCAGAATGAAAACACATCACACCAAAACCTTTGGGACACAGCAAATGGAATGCTCAGAGGTCAATTTATAGCAATAACCTTACAAATCAAAAAAGAAGAATGTGCCAAAATGAAAAGCTTGGCCCTACAACTTGAACAAATAGAAAGAGAACAACAAAAAAGCCCACAGCCATAAGAAAAAAGGAAATAAAAAAGATTAGAGCAGAAATAAATGAAGTATAAAATGGAAAAACAATAGAAAGAATCAACAAGACTAAAAGTTGATTCTTTGAAAAGATCAACAAAATTGACAAGCTATTGGACAAACTGACAAAAGGAAAACAGGAGAGGAAATAAATAACCCAAATAAGAAATGAGATGGGGACATTAAAACAGACCCAATTGAAATAAAAATGATCATAATAAAATACTATGAAAAATTGTACTCCAACAAATTTGAGAACCTAGAAAAAATCAACAAGTTTCTAGAAACACACTACCTACCTACCTACTAACATAAGCTGAGATAGCAAATCTGAACAGACCCATAAAAAGAGAAGAGATCAAAGAGGTAATATTAAAAAAAAAAAAAAAAAAAAAGCCCTGGCCCAGAGAGCTTCACTGGAGAATTTTACCAAACATTCAGAGAAGAGCTCACACCAGTACTACTCAAACTATTTCAGAACATAGAAAAGGAAGGAATACTCCTAAATTCATTCTATGAAGCCAGCATAACCCTGATACCAAAACCAGGCAAAGACACCACAAAAAAAGAAAATTACAGACCACTATATCTCATGAAAATAGATGTAAAAATTTTCAACAAAATTCTAGCCAATAGAATTCAGCATCATATCTAAAAAATAATACAGCACGAAGAAGTGGGATTCATACCAGATATTCAAGGATGCTTCAACATTAGAAAATCAATCCACATAATCCACCACATAAATAGAACAAAAGAAAAGAATCACATGATCATTTCCATTGACACAGAAAAGGCACTTGCTGAAGTCCAACACCACTCATGATAAAAATTCTCAATAAAATAGGAATAGAAGGGAAATTTGCAAAATAGTAAAGGGCATCTAAACAAAGCCAACAGCCAACATCATTCTCAACACAGAGAGGCTGAAAGCATTCCCCCTGAGAACAGGAAAAAGACAAGGATGTCCTTTATTATCACTCCTATTTAACACTGTGTTGGAAGTCCTAGCTACAGCAATAAGGCAAGAAAAAGAAATAAAGGGTACCATATTGGAAAGGAAGAAATAAAACTATACCTATTTACAGATGATATGATCCTATACATAGAGAACCCCAAAGATTCCACCAGAAAACTATACAAGATTGACATACAAAAATCAGTTGGATTCCTATACACCAACAAAGAGAACTTCAAAAAGGAAATCAGGAAAACAATACCATTTCTAGTAGCCCCTAAAAAGGTAAAATACTTAGGAATAAATCTAACCAGGGATGTAAAAGACCTATACAAAAAAAACCTACAAAACACTATTGCAAGAAGTCAAAAGAGACCTACATAAATGGAAAAACACACCATACTTATGGAAAGGAAGACTCAACATTGTGAAAACGTCAATCCCACCCAAAGCAATCTACGGATATAACGTAATCTCAGTCTAAATACCAACAACATTCTTTAACAAGACGGAAAAACTAATCACCAACTTTATATGGGAAGGAAAGAGATACCAGATAAGCAAAGCATTATTGAAGATAAAGAACAAAATAGGAGGCCACACACTACCTGATCTCAGAACCTGTAATATAGCCACAGTAGTCAAAACAGCCTAGTACCTTTACAACAACAGAAACATAGACCAATGGAACTGAATTGAAAACCCAAAGGTAAATCCATCCACCTATGGTCAGCTGATCTTCGACAAAGGACTAAAGTCTATTAAATGGGGAAAAGACAGTCTTTTCAAAAAATAGTGCTGGCAAACTGGATGTCTATATGTAAAACAAAATCCAACAGGACCCATACTTCACACCATACACCAAAACTGACTCAAAATGGATAAAGGCCTAAAGATCACAGAAGAAAAAATAGAGATGCTAGGGGCCTTAATATATGACATAAATACAATAAAAACCATAACTAACAATGCACAAACACCAGAAAGATAAACTAGATAACTGGGAGCTCCTAAAAATTAAACAGTTATGCTTATCAAAGAACTTCACCAAAAGAGTAAAAGAGAACCTACAGACTGGGAAAACATTTTTGGCTATGACATATCCTACAAGGATCTAATCTCTAAAATCTATAGAATACTTCAACACCTCAACAACAATAGGATGAATAATCAAATTAAAAAATAAGCAAAGATATGAACAGACACTTCACCACAGAAGACATTCAGGAGGCTAACAGACACATGAGGAAATGCTCGCAATCATTAGTCAATAGAGAAATGCAAATCAAAACTACAATGAGATACCATCTCACCCCGACATTACTGGCACTAATCGGAAAAAAAAAAAAAAAAACCCACAAAATAACAAAGGTTGAAGAGGTTGCCAGGAGACTGGAACTCTTGTGCACTCCTGATGGAATGTAAAATGGTAAAACCACTATGGAAAACAATATGGTGCCTCCTTAAAAAGTTAGAAATAGAAATACCACATGATCCAGCAATCCCACTCCTAGGGATATATCCTAGAGAAATAACAGCTGTCACATGAATAGATATATGCACACCCATGTTTGCTGCAGTATTATTCACAATAGCAAAAGGATGGAAACAACCTAAGTGCCCATCAACAGATGAATGGATAAACAATTATGGTACATACACAAAATAGAGTACTACCCAATAATAAAGAACAATGATGAATCCGTGAAACATCTTATAACATGGATGAATCTGGAGGGCATTATGCTGAATAAAATAAGTCAATCACAAAAGGACAAATATTGCATGAGAGTACTATTATAAAATGCCAAGAAAAGGTTTACACACAGAAAAAAACAATCTTTGATGGTTGTGAAGGAGAGGAGAGGTGGAGAGGAGAAATCACTAACTAGACAGTAGACAAGTTAACGTAGGTGAAGGGAAAGACAATACAAAATATAGGGGAAGACGGTACAACTTGACCAAGGCAAAGTCATAGAAGCTTCCTAGACACATCCAAACACCCTGAAGGACTGAGTCATTGAGACTGAGGCTGGGGACCATAGTCTCAGGGGACATCTAGGTCAATTGGCATTACATACTTTATAAAGAAAATGTTCTACACCCTGCTTTGGTGAGTAGCATCTGGGGCCTTAAAAGCTTGTGAGTGGCCATCTAAGATACATCTATTGGTCCCATTACATCTGGAGCAAAGGAGAATGAAGAAAACCAAAGACACAAGGAAAATATTAATCCAAAGGACTAAAGGACCACATAGACTACAGCCCCCACCAACCAGAGCCCACAAGTACTAGATGGTGCCCAGCTACCACCACCGACTGCTCTGACAGGGATCACGATAAAAGGTCCTGGACAGAGCTGGAGAAAAATGTAGAACAAGATTCAAATTCACAAAAAAAAAAAAAAAAGACCAACTTATGGGTCTAACAGACAGGAGGAACCCCTGAGACTATGGCCCCCAGACACCTTGCTAACTCAGAACTGAATTCACTCTCGAAGTCCACCTTTCAGCCAAAGATTAGACTGGCCTATAAAACAAACAATAACACAAGTCAGAAATGTGCTTTTTTAGTTCAATCAAGTATGCAAGACCAAATGGGTTAACACCTGCTCAAAAGCAAACACGAGAAGGCAGGAAGGGACAGGAAAACTGGACGAATGGAAACAGGGAACCCAGGGTAGAAAGGGAAAGGGGGAGAGTACTGACATATTGCAAGGATTGAAACCAATGTCACAAAACAATTTGTGCATATATTTTTTAATGAGGAAGTAATTTGTGCTGTAACTTTCACCTAAAACACAATAAGATTAAGAAAAAAAAAAAAGAAGGAATAGACAGATTCTATTTCCCCAATTAAAGGTAAGTTAAAATACAAGGTAATAATTGCTTGAAATCCATGTCAACTATATCAAAAAATATAATGATCTTCTCTTTTTTAAAATAAAGCTTTAGCTATTAATATTTAAAAAAGTAATTTTATATCCATAATAAAATTATCACCCTCATTATAAAACAAAACTTAACTGATAAAAACTAAAAGTTTCTCTTCCCAACATCCTCATTTCCAGTTACCAGAGGTAAAATCCTATAAAAGCCTTGTTATGTATTCTTCCAGATATGTTTTATAAACTTTCAATATATTTTCTAAAACAGAAAAAGATCAGATTTTTTATTAGACAGCCTTGTTTTAACTGATGTATGAGAAAAAGAAGTGTGCACAGCAATTTCAGAAGGAAGTCAAAGCTGAAGAAATTCAAACGTATTGTAATCTTTTTTCACACTAAGCCTCTATTTTATTGCACAGACAAATTAAAGTTATACACATACATATTTTAGATGCTATATATTTTTACACTTGAAGCTTAAAATGATCATGGGACTCAACTTCTTAGGGTCATCTGCCTGATTAGGGATACTTACACAGTAAAGAAAGCAAATAAATTATACATATTAATTTTTACCTTCCACATTCAAATGTGTTTTCTCACATATCAATTTTTCATGAAACACTTCTTTTGGATTCTTTTTTTCTTTAATAAGCTGAGACCATCTTTGAAAGAAAACTGGAAGAGAGAATAAAGACCATTCACTTTCCTGGTAGTAGAACGACTCTGCTCCTGATTGTTACTTTCTTGCATTCTGTGTAGTAACAAAATCTACAAAGGCCCAATGACTTGAGTAGAGGGATCCTGGCTGTGGAAAAAAATTCCCATCACTCCACCATCAACATAATCCCAATCCTACTGATTTTAAAACCATAGATTCCTCCAGGAATAGCTGAATGATCCATAGAAAGAGCACATGACAGTTTTGTTAGAATGGATCTTATTATATTTCAATACTAAGTGTATGACACAGGCAAGAGCTAAGCCTGGTGATGGGAGGGAGATGAAGCAGAGGGAAAAGACTCAAACATATACCTATTTGAGGTTGTACACAACATGAGTCTTTGAGGGAAACAATTCATCTAATTCTGAGGAATTCTGAGTTAGCTTGGAGAGTGGGGAATCAGAAAAGGACACATCAGCATTGATCAGAAGAACATTATCCTCTTCCACTTGTTTCCTTTCCTCTCTCCATTCCAACAGGCTCTTACTCCTCAGCATACCAAGTCTCTCCAATTAAAAACTAAATTACCTTCCCCTCTAGACACTGACTTTTCTCTCTTCCATCCCTCCTTACCCTCCATTTGCTCCTTGACCCACCACATTCTGACTTTTGCTTCCACCATTCCACTAAAATTACCCTTGCAACGAGTTGTCCGCTATCCCTTAGAGAATGGATCCAAAGACCACTTACTAGTCTTCTTTCTACTTGACTTCCGTGAATACTGGATCCCAGTTCTCTTCCCTCTTATCTCTTTGGGCACTACTTTCTTCTGTCTTTGCTTAATCTCTCTTGCTGCTGTTTCTTACACTCTTTTAGAAGCTCCTCTTCCTCCATTCACCTCTTTTAAAATGTGGTATTCCCGAGTTCCATCCTTATGCCTCTTCTCATACTAAATCCTCTCCCTGATTGATATCATGTATTCCTATAGCTTTAACTACTACCTATATGTAAATGGCTTCCAAAGTTCAGACCCCTCTCCTCAAATTCAGATAAATATGTCTCCCACTAGACATGTCCATTTCAGCTTCCCACAGTCATATAAAACTCAACATGCCCTAAATTTAAATCACTGTCTTCCAACCCAAACCTGATACTCATCCTATACTGTCTACCTCTTTGAATAACTTCATGATTTCTGTGTACCAAGGCAGAAACTTAGAGTTATACTTTACTTCTCTGAATCCCTTGTTGTCCAAATCTAAATATTCAACAAGCCTCTACCTCCTTGATTCCACCTCCCCACCATCATCCTTTTCTTCACTAAGATCCTCTTCTTTTTCTTCACTATTACTAGCCTTAGGTCAAGCTCTCACTATTTCTCAGTTGGATTAACGAGATATCCTTGTAATTGTTCTCTGTGCCTCCAATTTTATCCATATATTCATTTTCTTCTACCAAAAGCATATTTCTATAATTCAAGTTTGATTATATCACTTTCCTGCTTAAAATTCTTCACTGGCTCTACATGACTGTGACACATTGCAAAAATTGCCACAGTTCTCTATCCTTCCTGAGGCCACATCACTTTGCAATGTGACTTCATGCCTTGTCCCATTAAGAAGTGGGGTGTATTTCTTCACTTCTTGGATGTGGGCTGGCCTTATGACTTCCTTTGGCCAACAGAATGTAGAAAAAGTAACAATGTGCCAGTTTCAAGCCTAGGCTTTAAGAGGCTTTGTGTACTTCTACTTTCATTCTTGGGAGCCTGAAAGTTGCTATGTGAAGAAGCCCAGGCTAGCCTGGTGAATAATTGTGCTGTTGTTCCAGCCAACATCAAGCCAACCCTCAGAAGCTGAATTGCCTAAGTGACTGGCCCATGAATGTATATGCATGAGTGAGATCAGCTGGGACAGAACAGCCTCCCACCTGAGCCCAGCCCTAACTGCCAACCCACATATTCATGAATGAAATAAAGTGTTGTTGTTTTAGTCCACTAAGATTTAGATTGGAATATTAAGCACCAAAAGATAAATGATATAATAACCTTCAGGAAACAAATCTAGACTCCTTGGAATGGTGCACAACACTTTTCGTGCTCTGAGCCCTGCTTATTTCTCCTATCTACAACTTCATCTCTCACGGTTCTTCACTTAGCGCCATATGTTCCTTCCATACATATTTAAAAAACAAACAAACAAACATGTTGCTGTTGAGTCAATTCCGACTATAGCAACCCTATACGACAGAGCAGAACTACCCCATAGGGTTTTCAAGGAGCACCTGGTGGATTCAAACTGCCTACCTTTTGGTTAGCAGCCGTAGCTCTTGACCACTACACCACCAGGGTTCCCATCCATACCTGTTTATATACCTAAAATTTTACTATGCTCTTTCACATCTCTGTGTACACACAGCTCCTTTCATAACATATTCTTCATTTCCTTCTTAATTAAGCCCAGATGTCAACTCCTTCAGGAAGCCTAGCCCAGCCTCCTGTACTTACTTCCAGTAAACACTTACCATATAACATTATAACCACTGGGTCATCTGACTACATCTACCACCATTCTCTGCAGTTCTTGAGGCCCAGGGCTGTGGCTCTCGCTGGCCTCTCTGGCTGGCACAGTGACTGACATACAGTAGCTGCCCATCACTGCGTATTGAATGGCCAAATGAATGAATAAAATCTATCCAAATATATACTGGCTTTATATGTTTTTAAAAATTTAATAAACTCTTATAGCCAAAGATATGCATAAATTTACCATTTGCTAAATTGGCTTTTAGAACTCACATAGTCTTGAGTAGAACAAAAATAAACAGGCTGAAATGCAATGGGGAACTCTCCCTGGTATGTTTCCTCTTGTCCATCTACTCATCCCAAAATATAAGTTTTTGTGCACTCAAATAGGGTTGGCCTTAAAAGTGCTTAAAGAAATAAAGATTCATTCTCACAGTCTATGGGCAGTGTCTAATTTGGAGCCCTGGTGGTACAGTGGTTTTTTAGCTATGTCTAATGTAGTGATAGTACTCAAAGAATTTCCTCTGCAACACACACACACATGCCCACACATACGCTTTTCAATTTCTTTAATGCACTGCACTCCATTATTTTTAAGGAGAATAACTAAATACAAATAAAGAGCAAAATTCCCAATAAAACAAAACCAAACCCACTGCCATTGAGTCAATTCCGACTCATAACGACCCTAGACGACAGAGTAGAACTGCCCAGTGCGGGTTTCCATGGCTATAATCTTTACAGAAGCAGATTGTCTCATCTTTTTTCCAAGGAGCAGCTGGTGGATTCACATCACCGACCTTTCAGTTAGCAGCAGAGTGCTTTAATCATTGCACCACTAGCGCTTCTTAAAATTCCCAGTAAACTTCCACTAATTATGTCTCCCCCAAAGAAAACTTCTCCATAGTTTTGGATAAACCTACTGTTAAATGTCACTATCTAACAGACACCCTCTGTTCTTGTAAGGCAGACATTCCTTACTGATTCAGATGGCATACTTACTGATAAAAGCAATAAAGAATGAGATTGCCAATAGCAGCAGAAGTATCAGCAATGAGGCAAGAAGCTGCTTGGGAAAACGAGAGTTACTTTGGTGATGGCTGGTCTTCTCTTTGGGAGCTGAAAGAGAAACCAAATTAGATTCATCAGTAATAAATTCTGTCCTTGCTTCCTCTTCTTCCTCCTCTTCCTTTTCTTGGATGACTTACAATTACTAACTATATACCATTTGAAACAATAATAAGAGTAGAAAAAGGAACGTGGAGGAAATAAAAATGTTCATTGTAGAAACTTTAGAAAATACATAAAAGCCCAAATTCCTATCATTGAGAGAAAACTATTGCTAACATTTTGCTATCCTTCCAGCAATTTTTAAAGTATATGTACATATGTGTACCTTTTCCCACATGATTGACACACCACAAATACTGATTTCTAGTCCACTATTTTCCTTTACACTACACCAAGAACATTTTTACCAACATATTTTCTTTCTTAACACTATTATGATCACATGATATTTTGTTATATATTTAAATAACTCTCTAAACCGTTTCCATCTTTAACAACCTTAAATAATGCTGTTGTTGTTAGTTGCTGTTGAATCTATTCCAACCCCTGACAAGCCCATGTTTGCAGATTAGAACTGCTCCATAAGATTTTCAAGGCTGTGACCTTTCAGAAAAAGATCGCCAGGCCTATCTTCCAAGGTGCCACTGAGTGGGTTCAAACTGGCAACCTTTTGGCTAGTAGTCAATTGCTTAACCATTTACACCACCCTGGGACTCTGAGTAAAGCTATAGCAGATAAACCTTTCTAATAATTCCTGGTAATTTCCTTAGGATAAGGTCAGTTCATTTTAGTCCCCACTTCATAATTAAGAATTACTTTCTGGAAGCTATATTGTCAAGTGGGGGGAGACCCCAGTATTGTATAATGTGATCTCATATTTAGAAATACATATATATACATTTATGTATACTTATATCTGAAAGGATATACACTAAAATGTATATTATGCTTATTTCTGGATGGTAAGATTAAGTAAAATTTAAATTTTTGTGTACCTCTAGTTGATAGTTTTTTCTATAATGAACATTATTACTTGTATAATAAAGAATGGATAGGCAGAAGAACAAATCTGTCTTGGAAGAAGTGGAGCCAGAATGCTCACTGGAAGCAAGGATGGCAAAACTTCATCTCACATCTTTCGGACATGTTATCAAGAGGGACCAGTCCCTAGAGAAGAATGTCATGCTTGGTAAAGTAAAGGGTCAGCAAAAAAAAGGAAGACCCTCAACAAGATTGGTTGACACAGTAGCTGCAACAATGGGCTCAAACATAGCAATGATTGTGAGGATGGTGCAACTGGGAAGTTTTTTGTTCTGTGGTACATAGGGTCATTATGAGTTGGAACCAACTCCATGGCACCTAACAATAACAACAACTTAACAAAGAAATGATATAAAGTTTTGAAAGAGGAAAAAAGACATTCCCTTCATGCTTGTTCATATCTTCAGAGAAATGTTTTCAAAAAGCCTGAGCAATCCTAACTCTCTCCTATAACTCCTTGTAGTCCGCATGCATTTTTTTCTTTTAATCTCTTTTGCTGTATATCTAAGATACCATATTTGCCACCCAAATTATCTTTTATCAACTCCCAAGCCTAATTAACTAAGTCTGTCTTGGAGATACAATATGCAATGGATTTTCTGATTTCAAAGAAAATTTTCTCTGCAGATTTAAGGCACTTGCTTTCTTTGTTAGACTTTCTAGTCTTTCATCTACTATGTTCTTTTGTTCCACTTCAGGCCAGAACTAAAAAATACTCCCTTAACACTCTTCACCCAAAGTGTACTAATACATCAATAATCCATGTGTCTGGTCCAAACATGGTTCATGAGCTGGACCCAATCACTGGACTCCAGCCCCCTGAGCACAACTTCTAGGAATTATTAGTGCTTTCGTTAGCATGGGACTGTAGTTGATTTCTGACACCTTAGTTTTCTCATAGTCACCAGAGTTAAGGCTAAAGACAAGGTCATCATCTTTTCTTCCCTGTCATTTAACTGTACAATCTCTAATGCCTATCTATAGGAAACTCAGTCTTACAGGAATCCTCAGTGTTTCCAGTCATGGCCACTCACAGAACCAGCAACTAACATCACTGTCTTAGTTATCTGGTGCTGCTATAACAGAAATATCACAAGTGGAAAATTATTATCTCACAGTCCAGGAGGCTACAAGTCCAAATTCAAAGTGACAGCTCTAGGTGAAGGTTTCCTCTGTTGGCTCTGGGGAAAGCTCCTTGTCGTCAATCTTCCCCTGGTCTAGGAGCATCTCAGCGCAGAGACCCTAGGTCCAAAGAATGCGCTCTGTTCCTGGCTGTGCTTTCTTGGTGGTATGAGGTCCCCCGTCTCTCCACTTGGGTCTTTTATATCTCAAAAGAGATTGATTAAAGATACAACCTAATCTTGTAGATTGAGTCCTGCCTCATTAACACAACTGCTTCTAATCCTGACTCATTAACTTCATAGATGTAGGATTTACAACACATAGGAAAATCACATCACATGACAAATGGTGGACAATCACACAATACTGGGAATTATGGCATAGCCAAATTGACATACATTTTGAGGGGGGCACAATTCAATCCATAACAATCACCTATATCTTGTTTATAATATCTTTTCTTTGTTCTTCATCCCGTCACCAACTCTGACCACCAGAAAATGTTTCTTAGCTGCAGGAGGCTCTGAGTTGGCACCTGAGGCGTTGGAGTTATTCTTGAAACTCACTTAAGCATAAGTGATCTCTGAAGCCATATTGAGAAGAGGTCTTTTGCTTTCTTCAGAAATTTGTTTCATCCCTTCCTTAAAATATCTTAAAAATGAGAAGAAACATGGTGCTAAATAGTGATATTTCCTATCACTCAACTATAGGAGAGCAGAGGTCCCAAATGGGCAAGTACCCCTGAGAAGTATCCCATGAAAACTAAAAACCTCAATATGAGGCCATTCAGTTTACAGACAGAGGCCCAACCCCCAGGAGCAGCACAGTGACAACCACAGCCTTTACACATACCCTAGCAAACGTAATAAGCTGGAACTCAAAGTGTGGGGAAAGAAATAGGAAGGAAAAAAAAAAAGGAGAACCAAGTGGTTAGAAATCTTTTCTGAGAACTATGTTTTCTGAAATCACCAGGAAGAATGAAATTTAAATAATTATGTTTGCATGTGGGTGCATATGGGTTCAAATAGCCCACTGGTTGCACAATGGTTAAGCTCTCTGCTGCTAATCCAAAGGTTGGCAGGTTGAACCCACCCAGCTGTTTTGTGGGACAAAAGACCTCGTCTGCTCCTGTAAAAAGTGCAGCCTAGAAAACCCTAAAAAACAGTCATATAGGGTCATTATAGGGTCGCTATGAGTCGAAATCAACTCAATGGCATACAACAACAACATCAAGTAAGAGTAAGAAAATTCACCACCATCAATATCTCCCAATATATTTCCCCAAGTCTGTCTCTTGCAGTCTGGAGTCATACCCCAGGGCAGCCGGGACTTCACCAAGAAGATCAATGATAGCAGCTGACTTTCCAAGTCCAGCAGAAGAGTTTGGATAGTGGACAAGGTTACAGGGGAAACTGGACATTCAAACTACTCCATCATGGGCCACAGTGGATATGAGCACTCCAAGTTGAAACTCCCTCATGATCTCCTTCCAATGTGAGTTACAAGCACACCTATTTAACCTCACAAGACTTTTTTTTGTGTGTGTGCCTTTTTTTTTGTTTGTTTGTTTGTTTGTTTGGAACAACCACAAACTTAGAAAAGTTACAAGTACAAAACTTCTTTTCCTGAGCCACTCGAGAATAAGTTGCTGATCTGATACCCCATCACCTCCAAATACTTTAGTGTGTATTTCCTACGTTCAAGGAGCTTCTCCTGAGTAACCAAAATATAATCATCAAAACCAAGAAATTAACACTGATACATTAAACCAGTTGCTGTCAAGTTGATTCCAATTCACGGAGATCACATGTATGTCAGAGTAGAACTGTGCTCCATAGGGTTTTCAATGGCCTATTTTTGGGAAGTACATTACCAGGCTTTTCTTCTAGGGCACCCCTTGATGGGTTCGAACTGCCAACCTTTCAGTTAGTAGTTGAGCATGCCTCATTGATACATTACCCATTGCCATCAAGTCGATTCCAACTCATCGTGACTATATAGGACACAGCAGAACTGCCCCATAGGGTTTCCAGTGCTGTAATCTTTCCGGAAGGAGACTGAAACATCTTTGTCGCATGGATTGGCTGGTGGGTTTGAACTGCTTACCTGTCGGTGGCAGCCAAGTGCTTAAACATTGCACTACCAGTGCTCCTCTACTGATACGTTACTATCATCTAATCCTCAGATCCCATTCCAGTTTTGCAAGTTGTCTCAATAATGTGTCTCATTAGTCTTCTTCAGTCTGCAACTATTCCTCAGTCTTCCCTGGACTTTCACGACTGACGCTTGTGAAGATTACAGTCCAATTATTTTGTAGAATTTACTCAATTTGGTTTTGTCTGGTGTTCCTCATGTGCAGGTATACCCTAAAAATGATGTTATATTCTTATCATTACATCCTCTCAGATAGTATACAATCAACTTATCCCTTTATTGATGACGTTCACTTTGATCAGCTAATTAAGCTGATATCTGCCAAACTTCTCCACTATAAAGTTATTCTTTTCCCCTTTTGTAATCAAAAAGTATTTTGTGGGACTGGTTTTTAAAACTATGTATATATATCTCACTCCTCATCGAACTTTCAGTTCATTATTTTTTAATAAAGTATGGGCTCTGACAGCACAGTGGTTAAGTGTTCAGCTGCTAACCAAAAGGTCTGCAGTTTGAGTCCACCAGCTGCACCTTGGAAACCCTACGGGGCAGTTCAACTCTGTACTATAGGGTCGCTATGAGTCGGAATCAACTCGAGGACAACGAGTTTGGTTTTGAGTTTATGGGATCATTGTTTTCTATTTTACTGAATGGGATATAATCTGGTACTGTCATTTATTTTGATGCTCTAATTGTCTGATATCTGGCCAATAGGAACCTGAAAAATATGCATTGTTATTCCTCATTTGGCCAAAGTCCCATATCTAGTAAAAATAGATTTTTTACTTTAACCCAGGCTTGCTGACTCCAAAACCCAACTTTATATTATAAAAGGTTAATTTTCAAGGGTACTGGATAATTGTCTTTTAGGTATGTTACTAAAAAAGGTGTTTTTTGAAAAATTGTCATTAAGATCTCTTTCAAAGGAAGAGGCTCCAGATAAGTAAAGCATTACTGAAGAAGAACAAAGTGGGAGGCCTCACACTACCTGATTTTAGAATCTATTATACCACCACGGTAGTTAAAACAGCCTGGTACTGGTATCACAACAGACACATAGACCAATGGAACTTAACTGAGAATCCAGATGTAAATTTATCCACTTAGGAGCAGCTGATATTTGACAAAGGCCCAAAGTCCATTAAATGGAGAAAAGACAGTCTCTTTAACAAATGGTGCTGGCATAACTGGATATCCATCTGCAAAAAATTGAAACAAGACCCATACCTCACTCCATGTACAAAAACTAACTCAAAATGGATCAACATAAATATAAAATAAAAATCCAAAATGACAACAATCATAGAAGAAAAACTAGGGACAAATCTAGGAGCCCTAATATATGGCATAAACAGAATATGAACCATAAGTAACAATGCACAAACACCAGAAGAGAAACTAGATAACTGGGAGCTCCTAAAAAATCAAACACTTATGCTTATCAAAAGACTTCACCAGAGAGGCAGGGTCAAGATGGTGAAGTAGTCATATTCTTCCGGTGGCCCCTTTTACAACAAAGACCTGAAAAAACAACTAAATCAATTACATATGACAATCTAGGAGCTCTGAACATCAAAGGCAAAGTTGAAGAATTGGACTAAGTAGCAGGGGGAGGGAGAGACGGTTCAGAAGCAGCGAGAAGTTGCCAGACCTCACCCGGCAAAAGCCTGAGCCCTTCAGCCCGGATCAGCTCATGGTGCATGGTAAGGCAGGTGAGCAGCGGTGCCCGGGAAACGTTTTCCACACCGGGAGAGATCCAGTGGCAGAGAGTCTACTGGGCCATCCAAAACCAGTGAGAAGCAGCACTCGCTCGGCAAAAGATAAGTACTCGGGTCTGGCCTACCACACAGATCAAAACACACCCCTTTGGGAAAACCTCTCTCCCATTTACCTCCCCGCTCCCTACTCCGCACTAGGTCTGGGACCAGCTTCAGCAATTGCTGAGTCCCCTAGGCCGGAAGTACGACCCATCACACTCCCTGAGCCATTTTCCCAGCCTTGGAGACTGAACAAATTAACAAACGGGAAAAAATAAACTACCGGCTCCCCTAAGCCAGGAACTCAGGGTAGGCACAACTCCTTTGCCTAGGCACAGGCATAAGGGGTCCACAGACTTTGAGTGCCTTTCCCCTTGCATAGACTTGTGTGGGCACATTTCAACAGCGTACGACCTCATTACCACAGTACAATAGGGTATATACCAGAAGTCTAACTTCAACTGTTTCAGCTGCGAAGTGGCAGGTTGCGGACATTTGACACTGCTCTGCCTGTTATGTAGGGTCTTCACCTATCCGCATCAGGGGCCTGAGGACTGGTGGCTCTACCCACACCACCTAGCCACCTGTGACAGAGGGCCAAGAATAAGTGGTGCCCCCCAGTCCTTACAGCCAACAGCACTGGGCATGCATAGTCCAGCTGCAAAACTCATCCACTTAAGTGCCCCAGGGAACAGGGACGCATTTTCCTCCCAGACACTTTGGGGCAGCCGTTGGCCGCCCCCTGCCTTGCTCAGCATGTGATCCCCTGCTGCAGCCAGATGACTGTGCCTGCACCAATCACTCATGCCTGTCTAGGACTGTAGGTGAGAGCCTGAACCACACACTTGGTGGCCAACTACCTGGACACCTGAGCTGAATCCATACAGGAGGAGTGAGTAGACTCCTGGACTCACATACTTAGTGGCAATTCTGGCCACCTGGTGGTAGGATTTTGGAGCTTCAGGGGCACCAGTGATTGGACTAGATCACATGAGCAGCCTATTTGGGCATATCAAAACAAAACAAGAAGCTAGGACACAGTAAGCAAGCATAAAATAAATAAATACATAATGTATTGATCGCTCAGAGACAACAGTCAGTAACAAATCACATAAAGAGGCAGACCACAATGGCTTCAGCAAGCTCCCAATATAAAGAAAGAATCAAGGAATTTTCTGGAGGAAGTGAATTTCTTGGAATTACTGGAGGCAGAATACAAAAGATTAATATACAGAACTCTTCAAGAGATCAGGAAGGAGATCAGGCAAAATGCGTACCAAGCAACAGAGGAACTTAAGAACATTAGAGAACAGCATAATGACAAATTTAACAGGCTGCAAGAATCCATAGAGAGACAGCAATCAGAAATCCAGAAGATTAACAATAAAATTTCAGAATGAGACAACTCAATAGAAAGTCACAAGAGCAGAATTGACTTAGTGGAAGTCAGAATTAGTGATACTGAGGACAACGCACTTACTATCAACTTACTTGAGGAAAAATCAGATAAAATGATTTTTAAAAAATGAAGAAACCCTAAGAATTATGTGGGATTCTATCAAGAGGAAAAACCTATGAGTGATTGGAGTACCAGAAAAGGGGGGAATAACAGGAAATACAAAGAGAATTGAGGATTTGTTGGCAGAAAACTTCCCTGATATTGTGAAAGATGAGAAGATATCTATCCAAGATGCTCACTGAACCCCACATAAGGTAGAACCCAAAAGAAAGTCACCAAGACATATTATAATTAAACTTGCCAAAACCAAAGATAAAGAGAGAATTTTAAGAGCAGCTAGGGATAAACGAAAAATAATCTACAAAGGAAACTCAGTAAGAATAAGCTTGGACTACTCAGCAGAAACCATGCAGGGAAGAAGGCAATGGGATGACATACATAAAGCCTTGGAGGAAAAAAAATGCCAGCCAAGAACTATATATCCAGCAAAACTCTCTCTCAAATATGATGGCAAAATTAGGACATTTCCAGATAAACAGAAGTTTAGGGAATTTGCAAAAAACAAACAAAAATTACAAGAAATACTAAAAGGAGTCCTCCAATTAGAAAATCAATAACATCAGATAACAACACAAGACTAGAACAAAGGACAGAGCAACCAGATATCAACCCAGATAGGGAAGTCACAAAAATAAATCAAAGCTAAAACACCAAAAATAGGGAAACATAGATGTCAATATGTAAAAAACGACAACATTAAAACGAAAAAGAGGGACTAAAAAATGTAGACATAGACTTTTCATATGGAGGGGAAGTCAAGGTGATATAAAGAAATAAAAGACTGGTTTAAACTAAGAAAAATAGGGGTAAATATTAAGGCAACCACAAAGGAAACTAACAATCCTACAAGTCAAAATAAAAAACAACAAAAATATAAAGACTCAGCAAACACAAAATCAACAATAATGAAAAAGATGAAAAGAAAATACATAAAGAAAAACAACTCAGCACAGAAAATTAGGTGGAACAAAGAAACTGTGAACAACAAAAAAAGATATCAAAATGATAGCACTAAACTCATACCTATCAATAATTATGCTGAATGTAAATGGACTAAATGAGCCAATAAAGAGACAGAGAGTGGCAGAATGGATAAAATAACACCATCCGTCTATATGCTGCCTACAAGAGACACACCTTAGACTTAAAGAAACAAACAAACTAAAACTCAGAGGATGGGGAAAATCAAGCAAACAACACTCAAAAAAGAGCTGGAGTGGCAATATTAATCTCTGACAAAATAGACTTTAAAATAAATAAAATCCACCACAAAGGATAAGGAAGGACACTATATAATGATTAAAGAGTCATACACCAGGAGGGCATAACTGTAGTAAATATTTACGCACCCACAGACAGGGCTCCAAAATACATGAAACAAACTCTTTAACAGCATTGAAAAGAGAGATAGACAGCTCCACAATAATAGTAGGAGACTTCAACACACCACTTTCGGTGAAGGACAGAATGTCCAGAAAGAAGCTTAATAAAGACGCGGAAGATCTAAACGCTACAATCAAACAACTTGATCTCTTGGACGTATGCCGAACACTCCACCCAACATAAAAACCAAATGGGACTAATGAGGTACAGCAGTCCAGGGACAAGGGCCAGAAGGCAGAAGGGGCAAGGAAGCTGGTGATAGGGAATCGAAGTTTGAGTAAGGATAGTGTTGATGTATTGTGAGGTTGTTAACCATTGTCATAGGGCAACATGTGTACTAACTGTTAAATGAGAAACTATCTTGGTCTGTAAGCCTTCATCTAATGTGAGAATAGCAGCACAATTGGAAGAGCGTAGTCAATGTCAATGAACTGTAGGCATGTAGAAATTTTTGAAATGGTCTATCTTTGGCTATGTATATTTTCACCAAAAAAAAGGTCGAGAAGGGAGAGGGTTGACATGTTGTGGGGTTGTTAGCCAATGTCATAAAACAATACTACTGTGTACTACTGTTTCATGAGAAAGTACTTGTTCCATAAGCCTTCACCTGAAGTACAATAAAAAATAAAAATAAAAAATAAAAAATGCCAGTGGAATTTGTATCAGGATTGCATTGTATCTGTAAATCGCTTTGGGTAGAATTGACATTTTCACAATGTTGAGTCTACCAATCCATGAGCAAGGTATGTTTTTGCACTTTTGCAGGTCTCTTTTGGTTTCCTGCAGTAGTGTCTTGTAGTTTTCACTGTATAGGTCTTTTACGTCTCTGGTTAGATTTATTCTTAAGTATTTTATCTTCTTGGGGGATATTGTACATGGTAGTGATTTGGTGATTTCCTCCTCAAAGTTCTCTTTGCTGGTATAAAGGAATCCAACTGATTTTTGT